AAGAACTTTCACCACTTCTCCTGAACTCAGTATTGAAAGTCCCAGGTAGAGCAATTAGGCAAGAAAAAAGCAAAGGCATCCAGATTGGAGACGAAGATGTACAATTATCTCCATTTGCAGATGACACGATCTTACGTAAAGAACACCCCCAAGAATCCACACACACACACACACACACAAAACGATCAGAGTAAATAAACACTTCACAAAGTTGAAAATGTAAGAGAAGTATACAAAATTCAGTTGTATCTCTATACTTTAGCAACGGAGAATCTAGAAATAAAGTTAAGAAAATGATTTACAGTAACATTAAGATCTTTTAGGAATCATTTAACACAAAAAATGCAAGACTTAGACGTTAAGAGCTATAAAACACTGTTAAATGAAACAAAGATAGACACCTCTTGTGTTCGTGAACGGGAAGATTTAATATCATTATGATGACAATATTCCCCAAGTTAACCTACGGATTCAAGCTCTACAATCCTGGCTGCCTCTTTTACAGAAATGGATAACCTAACGTTCACGTGGAAAAATGTTAGCGACTCCAAACAGCCAACAATCTCGAACAAGAATCAAGCTGAAGAACACTTCCCTGTTTCAAACTTTACTGCAAAGCAACAGTAAGCAACACGGTGTGGCAGCCGTGTAAGGACAGATGTACATCAGGGGACGGAACCGAGTGTCCAGAAGCAAACCTGGATTCCTCTGGTCGACTAACTTTCAAAAAGGGTGCCAAGGCCATTCCACGGGGAAGTAAGTCTTTTCAAGGAATGGTGCTGGGACACAGTACGTACAAGTGCCAAAGAACGTATCTGGACCACTACCTCATGCCACGTATAAAAATTAACTCAAAATGGTTAAAGACCTAAATGCGAGAGCTAAACCCGTAAGACTCTTTCAAGAAATCACAGAAGTATATCTTGTGACCGTGGGTTCGGTGGTGGGGTCTCAGCTATGGCATCACAAGTACGAGCAGCCTAAGAAAAAGGATGCACTGGACTTCGAAACGAGAGGCTGTGTGCGTTGGGGGCACCGGCAAGAACATGAGGCGTTGCAGTGACACACCCGACAGAGAGACCTTCGTCCACACGTGTAAGAACTGGAGCTCGAAGGTAAAAAGTCAGATAATCCAACTAAGAAATGGGCAAAATAACCGAACACACGTCTCCGGGGAGAAGGATAGATGCTCAACACCAGCCACCACCAGGAAAAGGACGGTCAACACTGCAGCGAGGCACCAGCACGGCCGTGATCAGCAAAGTGGGAAGTAATGAGTGTTGGCAAAGATGCGGAGAAACTGGAAAGCAGAGACTGCTGGTGGGAATGTAAAATGGAGCAGCCACTGTGCAAAACCATTTGGCAGATTCTCAAAAAGATAAAGTGCCACACGCCACAGAGTGATTTCACTCTGAAGTATGTGTCCCCAAGACCAGTGAAAGCACACGCTCACACAAAACCTTGTACATGAACGTTCACAGCAACATGACTCACAGCAGCCACGAGCAGAAACCATCCAACTGCCCATTAACTGTTGAGCAGATAAATAAAATGTACAGAAACAGTGGAGCGTTCTTTACCCACAAAGTGGAGCAAAGCACTTGCATCGGCTACAGCACAGACAACGCCTAAAACCACGATGCTGCGTGAGAAGCTGGGCACAAAAGGCCACAGACTGTATGGTTCCGTTTATATGAAACGTGGAGAATGGGCACGTCATAGAGATAGGAAAAGATTAGCAGCTGTCAGGGGACAAAGGAAGGAGAAAATAGGGAGTGACTGCTAACAGGTATGTGGTTTCTTTTGGGGATGATGGAAAGGTTTTAGAAATAGCAGGTGGTGATGTGTACCACTCTGTGAATGTACTAAAACCCACTGAACCGTATGCTTTCAAATGGGTTATTTTATGTCATGTGAATTTAAAACACTAAAAACAACAACAACAAAAAAAACCTTTTACTTTGACAAAATCACTTCCTTATTTAAAATAAGCTAAAGAAGTAACCCCTATTGTTGAAAACGTGAGAGTTTGAGAGCGCTTCAAACTCTACATATGGCATCGAGCAGCATCTTGTCAGTATATCTCATTTGTACACTTCTTATAAAACTTCATCTGATGTGCATTTCTGCAAAACAGGATTCTGTGACCTTTTTCTGTAACGCACCAGATGATAAGCAGGTTTAGGCTTCGTGGGCCCAACAATTTGTCACAACTGTGGCTGTAGTGTGAAAGTGGCCACACAGGCAGTGTCAGTGGGGATCGGTGTGTCCCAGCACATCACTTATAAAAACCAGATCCTGGCTGGGTTTGGCCTGCATGTTACTACCGACTGGTCCCCTGCTCTAAAACAGGAAAGGTCTGGGGCGCCTGGGTGGCGTAGTCGGTTAAGCGTCCGACTTCAGCCAGGTCACGATCTCGCGGTCCGTGAGTTCGAGCCCCGCATCGGGCTCTGGGCTGATGGCTCAGAGCCTGGAGCCTGTTTCCGATTCTGGGTCTCCCTCTCTCTCTGCCCCTCCCCCGTTCATGCTCTGTCTCTGTCCCAAAAATAAAAATAAAAAACGTTGAAAAAAAATTGAAAAAAAAAAATAAAACAGGAAATGTCTCCATAAAAGGAATGAAATCACCTCTGGTCCAAAATGTCATGCTGCGAAAATGGGGAAATGAATCCATGCCATCAGCATTTTTGTGTCCAAGCAACTCATTTTTAAAAAAAACGCCTCTAAGTTCTATACATCAAACTGGCTTACCAATCTGCCACAACTTACTATCTTCACAGAGATAGGACACCTGAAACATCACACCTGACAACTGTCACCGAACCAGACTTTGAGCTTCACAGGCACTTCAAGTTATAAAAAACTATTTACATAATCTGACGAATTTTCCTCTTACTCTCCTTCTACGTAACATACATACTTGTTGATCTGAGCCAAGAACATTCCCTTCAGGGCGTAAAACTCAGCAGTCATCTCTTTTGTGAAGTATTTTAGGTTTGTAGATTCAATAACTTCAAGGCCCTGTTTAAAAACAAACAAAAAAAGTAGGAAAAGAGTTACTGAAATTTCATCAAAATATTTACCTAGGCGGTAAGCCCTAAAGGTCATCGACAAGTGTACGTGAAGTTGACAGCAGACCTCTCCCACCACAAACAGCTCTAGATAGACAGACAGACAGCTCCTAAGTGAATTGCTAAATGCCAGATTCAGTGCTGGACACCTTAAAGGATACTGTTTTTTTCTATAGCTTTATGCGTCTGGTTCGTCTCTTCGTTTTTATTAACGTTCCTCTGATCGTCATCAAAATCTCCCTTATACCCTCATAATCAGTTTTTCATTTTCTTTCCTTACATAACCTTAACCAAGAGTAGTATAGAGCTGAGACCATAAAATGTACTTCAAACGCTCCAGTGCTTTCCTTTGCCTTTCGGTTTTTGAAAGGACAGTCTCCCACTAACGAAGCTGTGCTTTCAGAAAGTTCTGGCTCGCTTTCCCTACAATCTGCACCAGGAGTTCGCACGTGGGCACTCGCTCTTCGCCGGACCGCCTCAGCAAAGGGGCTTCCGCTGTCACTGTACCTGCATACACTCGTTCTTCCCCATGACTCCTGCCAGCTGGAGGTAGCATTTGACTTGCTGTCGAATCTTCTGGAAGCAATCCACAATAGGCACAGTTGGAATAGTGTGAATACGACTTAGTATGTCCAGAGCTACATTGACCAGTCCTTGTTTTCGGGCAATTTTCCCATACTGGATGATCGCAGAAGCAGACGCGTGCACCCCGAGCATGGCATTGTTTGAACTTGGATCGTGCTGAGAACTGTTTTCATATGCAGTTACAATCGCTAGAGAGCAAAGAAAAGAGCTATCAGTCTCCGCGAAACATTTCTCAAAGTGTTCCACGATAAGGCTTAAATAAAAAATGAAAAACACACACACATGGCTTATGAAAACGGGAAGCTCTGTGATAAACCCGTTACCTTTCCTTGCATTTTACACAAAGAAAGTATTTTACGCAAGAGTAAGGTGTAAAAAGCGCTGACTAGTGAGCTGAGCATTTACCATCGTGGCTAACAAATGGCGAAGGTGGCTCTACACAGAAGTCTGGCGGGGTGAGGGGATGAGCCAAAAGGCCCAGGAAAACTGGAGAAGCCTCCACACGGCCACCTTCAAGTGGCTCTTCCTCGGGCACCTTCACAACGAGCGCCACACCCCGGAGCTCCGATCCCCCGGCCTGCACCCCAGCAGCCCCTGTGCCAGCAAAGTGTTAACAGGGTGGGGAAATCTCCCCACCTTTCACTGCCTTCACCTCTACCCTTGCCATACCAACCACCACCTACCCAACCTGCCAGAAAATAGAAAATCTGGTAAAAGAAAAAAAACACGACAAAACCAAGACATGAAACCAGAACAGTGGGGTGTCTGGAAAATTACATGATGAATGCATGCCGGACCAGGTAGGTTTACCCTGGTAATGATGCTGCCTCCACATGAACACGCTGCTCCAGTGGGACAAGTCATCAGACACGATGGGCAGCCGGTTCCTCCAAGTCTTCACCACCGTCTTCATGTCATGTAGGCTATTGTTCCGGCCCAGGTTGGTCGGCTGCAAGCCTGCGTTTATTTGTGCAGCTTCCTGAAGTTCAATGATTTGCTGGGCTGCCTGAATGGGACCAGCAGAAGGGATTCCACGGTAAGCATTAAAGAGCACATGAGGAACATAAACCAGAGCCCTTCAGCAATCCAACGACTGTCAGGCTCTCACGACTCACCGAGGAAGCTCTCCAGCTCGTACAGACACCTCAAGGCCACGCTTCACTTACTCTTCACCCCAAAGTGTGCTCTTGTGCTCCCCCCACTTTTAAAAGCTCAGCTCTGCGGCTACTGCAATAGGAGAGGGACGACAGTGGTGTGGGCAGCACACCTTGCTAACGGCAGTCCCCCCACACTAGTTCTTCCCCATTCCCTCTGCCACCAACGAAGTGTGGCTCTCCTACCGAGCTCAGACCACAGCAGCCTGGCCCCCTGCCCTCAGGCCCTCCTTCCAGCAACTTAAACCCAGAGGCACACCATGCATCTGAAAACAGGATTCACAGGTGATCCCTTTGGGCTGGCACATACATCTTCAGTCATGTCTCTCGTGGGTCTGTCCAATTCAGTGCCCTTCACACCCGGATGAGTTGCTGGCTCCAAACTTCTGGAAATGCCCTGGCACAATCCCGATCCTATCCAAATCCTACCTGGAAGGTTCTCCTCCCTCCCACAGGGATTTCTCCCTTCTCTAAACCCTGTGTTTACTCTCTGTCCTAACACACGGCACTGAATTCTTGTTTTAAGTTTTGCTTCTTATGGCTGTCCTCTCTCTCCAGCTGGATGCTCCTCTGGGGCAGAATTTTTGTTTCAAAAGTGTTACATCCTCACCACCATGGCACTAGGCTTGGCACCTGCTATCTCGTTGACTGAGCTTAGTGGAAGACACTGCCTGCATGAATCTCTGCTCTCTATCTGCACCTCAAGTTCAGGGCATTGCCTTCAGTGTCCTGAAACCTCCCTCTCACCAAAACCTCACCAGAAACCCAACAGTGGGGTATTTCTTTTACAACAGCTTTACAGACATACAATTAAAATATCACTGAAATCACTCAAGTTTTCAGTTCAGTAGTTTTTAATATATTCTCAGCACTGTAGAACCATCAACACCACCTAAGTATGGAACATTCTCATCACTCCCCACAGCGGCCCTGGACCCGTTCAGCGGCCTCCCTGCATCCTTCCTCCCCACGAAGGTGACAATCACTGGCCTGCTCTGTCTCCGTGGAGTGTCCTATCCTGGGCACTTCTCAGAAGTGGAGTTAGACGGCATATGGCCTTCTGTGCCTGGCTTCTTCACTCAGGGTATTTCTAAGGCTCACCCACCTGTACCAGGACTCCACTCCTTCAATACTGCCCAGACACGCCACTTTTTATCTACTCGTCAGTGGAGGATCACGTGGCTAGTTTCCATATTTTGGCTATTTAATGTACACTATGCTGCTGGGAACATCAGTGTACAAGTATTTGTGTGGTTGTGTTTTAATTTCTCTAGGACTGAAACTGCTGTCATACGGTCATTCTACACTTCACATTCTGAAGAACCGGCAGACTGTTTCCAGGCTATTTTATAATCCCACCAGCAGTATAATGTGGGTTCTAATTCTTCCACATCCTCACCAACACGTTACTGTCTTTTTTTATCCTAGTAGGTGTGAAATAGTATCTTGCCATGGTTTCGATTTGTGTTTTCCTAATGACTGATGATGCTGAGCAGCTGTTCCCTTGCTTGTAAGATCATCTGTACATCTCCTTTGTAAATGAAATTGGGTTCCTTATCAAATTTGGGCAGTTTTCAGCCCTTATTTCTTCAAATGCCCCATCAGCCCCTTTTCTGGCTTCATTCCTTCTGGAATCCCTACTATGGTAAGTACGTTGGTACACTAATTCTATATTATTTGTAAAATGCACCCACTTAAGTCTCTGCTCAGTTAGCTCTGTGGTCAGCTAGTAAACCAGAGATTTCCCCAAAGACCAGAACCAGTTAAGTCTCTCGGCCTTTGCTGAGGGGCCGTGGGCCTGCCCTGGCATGCATTTGACACTCAACCAGGCGATTTTCAGTCCTGCCTTAGCTGTCACTTCCTGCTTATACAGAGCCTCAAGGGCAGCCAGAGGGGTGCGAAGAAGGGGGTTCTATGGAGAGAAGCAGCACATGTGAGGGGCTGTGGGGAGAGTGGGGAGAGACTGCGTCAGAGCTGAGCAGCTGAACAGGTGGCCTGTGTGGCTGGAACACACTGTCAGCAACAGGGAGATGACCCATAGAGGAAGAGGCTAAGGCACAGGCTAGACCGGCAATCTTAAGGGTCTCTGAGGACACAGGACTTTTTAGGCTGCGCAGTGGCATCACACATTGATGGTGGCACAGGGGACGTGAAAGAAAATGCCTAGAGCAAAATTAAGAATCCTCAAAGTCACTCGTGGGATGTCATCTGTCATTTACAGCCCACAGAAGCTCCCAAAAGAGAAGCCACATTTCATCCCTCAGGATTCAGACTCTGGCCTTCCTTTCGCTGAGGACAGCTTGAATGAGAGAGGACAGGACAGGTAAGAGGATCTTCCTCTCAGTCATCCAGGTCAGTTTACGGACCTAAGCCTGGCCAGGGGGTGGCCTGCTGTGACGGACCCCGAGACTGCCCGAGGACACGCGTGTACCCACCTGGAGAAGAGGTGTGTGCACGTGCGACACCACGTGCGGTAGCCGCCGCCACTCGCGGATGGCCAAGCTGCTGGCCATCTCCACCAGGCGCTCGATGAAGCTGAGCTGCTGCTCCTCGGGGTGGCAGATAGCCAGGTACCCGCGGTACATGTTGACCTTCCAAGCCATCTCTTTGGGGCAACTTACTTCCACCTGGTGGTGAAAACACAGTGCGTGGATGCAATGGGCAAACTTCCTTTCAGTGTGAAGGGTCAACATGGTAGGCCGATTGTTTGGGAGCCAATTTTACAAGGAGATAAATAGACATTAAGCCATGAATAGATGCTTCTTTTCTTTTCAGAAGTCAGGCATGTAGATTGCATTTCCTAGATACTCTCCTTTTCCCAAAACCAGTGAGCAGCCAAGTCTCTATAGGGTCCTCGCTTTAAGGTCATTAGTGATTCCAAAAAAGAGGGAAACTGATCGCTGTTGTGACAGAAAAGATTAACGACCACCACTCGGCTACAAAGTCAGCCAGAGAATTTCCAAAGTATTAAATACACATTCACCTCCACTCGAATCAATATAATTCTGAATTGTTTCCAGTTCGTAACTATTAGCCTGAGAAACTAATCTAACTTGTTCCATGTTATAGAAGGAAGCAAAAGTCGATGGTTTATGTTAGGAATATGAGAAAACACTCATAAATTTCACTGTCACTTAATTTCCCCTAGATTTCTTCTATCTTAGTTATCAGTTCTATTATGAAGCAGACTGAGCCCAGAGCGGTCACATTTCCTCTCGTTGGCTCTGACCCGGCCCCCCCGACCCATGGCTCAGAGTCCACATGCTCCCCTTTCTGCCCTCGAAAGCTCTATTTGCCAACCACCTGCTGAAGAAAGCATTACAACTTGTCTCATTTGATCAGTCTCTTACAGAGCATTTAAAAACACAAATGATAAAAAAATTAAGGTCTTTTCAAAATAATCTCTGTGTGTTAAGAAGAAAGCATCTCTCTGTTGAAGGTATTTTATAGGATTTGATGTGAGACCAACATAACATTCATTCTGAAGCATCTTTAGCAAATAAACAGGACACACATTTTAGTGCCCTAATACCATCTAAATCACGTAAGTATCATACTCTGGTTTCTCTTCAGATCGAATAAATCTTTCGCCTTTTACTAAATCACGTAAGTATGATGAGGATGGTGAAGACAGCGCCATCCTGCATTCATAGAACTCTCTGGCTTGTTTTTTCTGACACCTCACTTCTTCAAGCACGTTCACATTCACAGCCTCTCTTAATCTCAATAACCCAATGATGGAAGAAATTCAGGAAGACAGACTTGTCAAAACATGTGCTTCTAATATAATCCTCTAAAATCACACCGACCTCACATTTTCTGGACTTAAACACTATTCAAGAAGATGGGCTTTTGTCAATCACCACACCTATCCTCTGTAAACCAAGAACACAGGCATCTCTTCTGTTTCCTATGCCATTTATTAAACCAAACCAAGAAATAATGGTACTTCTGCAAGCAGCCCTGGAATCACAATGCACAGGAACGAAAACAGAAGTCATTTGATGTTTTTCCTTTAAGTATTAGTAAATGAGTAAATAATTTTGGACTATGAAGACTACTTGAATTTATTGCAGACTCCTAAGAATGTTTATTCACATCCTTTGAGCTTTTTCCTAATCAGCCTTACAAGTCTTTGGAAAATTATCAAGTGCTTCTGAAAGAAGAAATACACTGATCAGATTATGGATAGCACGACGCTGCGTGTATTTGGCTAAGTGAAATCCTGGGAAGGGAGTAAAAAGGAAACATCAGATCGAGCTATAAATATTTACTCAGTAGAACGTAAATACATTTTGTCAGGAAAAAAAAAAATCTGTATTTTACCCATAACACGAGACTGGTCATCTCTGGGAGTAACAAACTCCCTGCATCAGATGAGCAATTTCCAGATCCCAACCCCAAAGTCAAGCCCTGTTCACACGGTCTGTGACCATCTCAGTTCCATGACCTTCTATATGTTTGTTAAAGAGTAACATCAGGAACCACAGTAACCACAATACAGGTTAAAGTTCTGGACTCCTCATGTGCGAGAAAGCAGCCCCATAATCCCACGTGCTCTTGCCGTCTCCAAATGACAAGAGAAGAGGAAAATCAGTGGTGTGGATGTAACTAAACCCTACTGGGTAGAAGGGCAGGTGAGGACAGGACGGTAGCACTTCCTTCAGCTCAACCCCAAGCATGAACGTCACAGGGAAAAGGTGGAGAGCCGAGGAGGAGCAGGGAAGGAGGCCGAAGGGGAACAGGAGGAAGGGCCCAGATGACAAATGAGGAGCAAAAAGAACAGCTGCATCCGAGGACTGCCTAACGTGGGGTCCAGATGACACAGAGTCGTACCGTGCAGTACTGCAGCTTTCGGGGCCTGATCTCCCCCAGGGGAGAGGGAGGGAGCTGCACCTCTGTGCCCACTTTCCCGCTGGGTACTCAGTTCTGCTGGATGGAGCTTCATCTTAAAAAATGTGGAGCTCAGGGCGCACCTGGGTGGCTCAGCTGGTTAAGCATCCGACTCTCAGGTCATGACCTCACAGTTCCCAGGATCCAGCCCTGTGTCAGGCTCTGCACTGACAGCACGGAGTCTGCTTGAGATTCTCTCTCTCCCTCTCTCTCTGCCCCTTCCCTGCACTTGTGTACCCACTGTCTCTCAAAATAAACTTAAAAAAAGAAGTGGGGCTCAACCAAGTTAATGACTCAAGTTCCGTTACGCTACGTTGCTTTCACTCGTGCGACACAGAACACGCTTTGTAACCACATCACTCAGCAGACCTTACCGCCAGGCCCGGCCCGGGATGCGCCCTTGCTGCCTGCACTTCCAGCCGTGCTTCTGCACCAAGTCCGCCTCGACGGACTACTACTTAATCTAACGCCTAGATGGAACCGATCCAGGAAAGGGGTTAGAGACGACCAAAAATCATGCCTGCTTCCCAAGTGCTATTTTTCATCTGCCAAAATGCCCAGTTTGTTCTAAGTGAAGAGAACACTCTAGAGACTGAGGGCTTTGTGGAAGGGACCCGCGCGGCTGTGGAGAACATAATCTGGGCCCAGCGAGTTATCAGGCAGCAGGAAAGTGGCCTCACCTGCACCAGTGCCTCCTTCATGGCGGTCCAGTTGGACACCCGCCAAGCACACTCGAGGACGAGGTAAGGGTTTATGTGCCCTTTGGACTGGCCATACTCCGTCAAGGCTTCCCATTGGTTCAACTCCTTCGAGCACCTAGAAGACCAGGGATTCAAGAGCACAAGGTCAGTTACCAACACACTCGCAGACTGAGACAGGGCAGGAGACGAGACATTAAGTCGTTTGTTGCCATTCCACAGAAGAAAACAGAAATTTTCCCCCCAGAGCAAGTTTTCCCCCGAGGTGCCCATGGCAGTGAGCCACCCGCTCTCTGAAATAACAGCTCCCCCAGAACACCAAGGGCTGCCCACCACAACACAGCGGAGAGCTCGGAGAACTGGAAGAAGTTGTTCCTTGCTTCATAACAAGGCCAGAGCGAAAGTAGGGAAGTCCCCTTTTAAAAACACACGTGAGGAAATTTCAGAGACTTTTTTTACTGGATCTCTTCACGGACTCCTGAATGCATCAAGCACGCTGGCATACCGAATCCAGTGGTCCTCCCAAAGCTGGTACTCTGGGAAGATAGCAGGGGACGCGTTACTCCTCTCATGCTCCTTCTTGGCTTTGTCCATTGCCTTCTCGTAAGCTTCTTGTGCCTGGAGAAGTTAATCATGCTCTCAATTATTTAGGACAACCTGGACCTCAGGCCTGGGGGTGCCCTAAGCTCTTCTCTAAGATCACTGCCACCCGAGAGGCTCCACGTGCACAGGGAACAGGGATGGCCCCCGTACCTCCCGCCCCCTCGCCCGTCACAACAGACAGTGTAGAGACCGCCGAGCCCCAGGATGAATCTCTCTGTCCCTCAGTGAGGACAGCAGAGCCCAAAGCTCGTGCCTGTTCTGGAGTTTCTGCGGCTCAGTGTCCTACACAAGGCTGAGAGCCATAGCCTGGGACAGCGGCCCAGGCTACATACAAAGGACAAACACGAGGATTAAGATTTCAACACTGAATGTAATCTACCTGCCACTTCCAACAGGACCACTGACTGCAGATAAAAAGCATCCACGTTAGCAACTAATGGTAAAGGATCGTGGACTGAGTTTCAAAAATGTTCGTGTCATGTATGTGTGTTTCTCTTCAACTGAGATTTCAATCAGAAGGCCTTTCTACGCAGGGTAAATGTTTCAAACAAACACGTGAACTTATTTAACGTGAACTCTGACTTGACAATGTTAGAAACCACCTCTCCTCCTCCATGCGGCTTGGCCGGCTCATTGGACACTGGGTGGTGGCTACCTGCTCAAAGAATCCGTGCTGCTCGTAAGCAATGGCAGTCGCCGTCTCTGAATACTTGCAACGCTTCTGCCACAAACCAGCCCACATATCTTCCTCTTGTAACAGAGAGTACAGTTCAGCCAGGGAGTCCAGGATCTCCTGAAAACAGAGCATGGTTTCTTGAGTGCTCTGGATAAAAACCTTTCCTCTTCCTCCCAATAAAGCAACGTCACTGGGCTGTAACTTAAAATCGCTCGGGAGAGGCTTACTGAAACCGTGAGGCCCCAGGCCAGGAAGACGTGACCCAGAAGGCAAGGTGGGCCTCACCTGCTGGGGTGGAGTTATGCTCTCCTGCTCATAAAATTCCGTGGTTTGCTTCGGCTTAATCTGCAGACTCAGACCTTTCTCAAAAGCCTGGTGCTCCAGCATTAACGTGGACCGGAACCAGAGGTTGTGTGTCTTCCCCAAATACTTCAGAACGCAGGGCCTGATGGGAATTGGGGGGACACACTGGGACATGGCCTCGACGAAGCAGTTCAGCGCGCTGGGCTGACAATCCCGCTGCACCTGGTGGCTGCCGCTGCACAGGAACGGGCTGATCTCACCAGCCAGAGCCTACAAGCGAAGCACACGTGAACTGAGGTCTTCGCTCTCTTACACAGCATCTGACAACATTTGGGGAGGATTCACCATTAGTGAATGGGACGTGGTTGCCTCATCCTTTGAAACTGAGCCAAGATTGTTTTCTTTCACCGAGATTTATCAACACCGAAAACCACATCTTCCAAAACAGGATGTAAGACAGACTCACGTGCTGCTGTCTGTCGGACAGGATTTTCCACAATCTGGGAAAAAGCTGGACCCACGTCTTTTCTGCCAGTGTTGTGGAAATGTGACAGAGCTGGACAAAAGCGCTGAGCAGTGCTCCCGTCTACGGAAAGAACAAAGGTCCATGTAACCACGCAGGGGGTCTCATGTCCACGCTCAAGATACTGCTATCTCTGTTGTCTCATGCTTTATCAGACACTTATCAACTGTCAAATTTTCAAAGATCAAGCGTCACAGCAGAGCATAAACACAGATTCTGAGCATGAGGAACCCATGGGTGCTTAGGAGTCAGTGACGTGCCTACATATTTTTAACTTCTTTTAAATGTTTATTATTGAGAGAGTGAGCGTGCACACGTCGGGGGAGAAGCAGAGACAAGGAGACAGGATCCAAAGCAGGCTCTAGGCTCTGAACTGACAGAGAGCTTGATATAGGGGCTCAAACTCATGAACCATGAGATCATGACCTCAGTGGAAGGCAAATGCTTAACCGACTGAGCCACCCAGGCGCCTCTACATTTTTTGACTTTTAGGGCATTTTCTAACATGGTTCCACCACGTCCAAGAAGTATAAACACAATGCTGACACAGATGTGTTAACAAGAGGCACAGGGACTCCATCAAAGCTGGAAACATGAAAGAGGAAAAGAGGAGGAGCACATGCATAGAAGGGAAGTTCTTGGCCAAAGAGTACAATTCTGCAGAACAGATCAAGAACTGAAGATCCAGAGTGTCTGCAGCTGACGGCCGGCGAGATAGAAAGAGCCAGGGTCAGGAACTAAAAGCCCGGATGGTGAATCAAATCCACAGATGCCTCTGACTTTGTCCACAGCTTTGCTGGTTTTCAAAGTCTGAATCGGCTGCCGATATTTCCTACAAACAGGCAGGTTTCAAGCCTGCTGGAAGCCCACTGGGCCCATGGGGCACACCTCCCCACAGAGACAGGGCTTCAGGGACACATGCGTCATGACCAGGCTCTCCTTTCTCCAACAGCAAACCGAGGAAGGGAAATCACCCTCATGTCCACATCTACTAAAAATGCAGAAAGCAAAGCTACGAACATTTCAAGGAACATGGGTGAAAACATTTAATAAGTGAAGAATGCTCCGGTTTGGTACTCGGGCTGCCCCGTGAGGCAGACGGACATGAAACGACCATGGAGGACCTCGGTGGCTGCCCCCTCCTCCCCGGCCTCGGGGGCCTCCTGCCTCCAAGTCAATTTAGCAGAGACTGGAGCGCTGAAGGGCCGGCCACACGTGTTCACACACCTGCTGCTCATCTCGAGCCGTGAGTCGGGGATTCCGCAGGTCCCCGGCCTGTACTCATTCACACACTGTCACGGAGAGGCTGTGGTGGCTCTGCCAACGCCAAGGAGAACAGGAGGGGACATTGGCGTCAACACGTTTCTCACAGGGAGGAAGACGGCCAATTCTGGGACAAGATGCCCAGGGCAGAGGAGAGGGCAGGAGCACCTGGTTCCATGAAGGACCCGACCCATTCACGTGCCTCCTAGTCCCTCTGGACTTAGAAACAAACTGTCTGGAGGCACCGACTGGCCCCTGACCACTTCACGGGTGGAGGGGCCTCGGGAAGGAAAATGTCAAGGTCAAATAGACTTATAAATGCAGTGACTTATAACCCCACCTTGCTCTACAAAAAACAGAAATATGAAAAGTAACTTCCATAAACACGTGCTAAAATAACATGAACGCCACTCCGACTTCTGAAGCCTCCCGGTGGCTTTCACTGTTCTCCACAGCACTCACCAGCCCACACAGCCACACCGATTTTACCTCTGTTTATTATTTCCCCCAGTAGAACAGGAGCCCCACGGGGCTGGTACTCTTGTCTGTTTCATTCAGTTACACGAACTGCTAAAATGTACTCTGATCTTTCACAATGAGCTGATCATTAAACTTATGCCAAAGCAACCAATGAGTCAGTATCTACGTGGTGACTTATCATGGCGACTGTCAGCCAAGAAAGGCCTTTGGGTTTGGGGGCACTGACCCACCACCCTTCTTTCCAGCAGAAATGACAGGAGGGACAGGGGCCTATTAAGTCTTCAGTTGTGAACAAAAGTGTGTCATCTACATGTAAGAATGCTCTGCTTCCGTTCTGTGCACAGGAAGACAAAGTGTTATGTTTATCCACACATAAACACAATGATCACTCAGATGCAAATTAAAGTTTGATTTAACGCACAAAAATACAGAATGGGTTACCAGAGAATTTTAAATGTACAAATTATCTGTGACAAGTAGTTTGTTTCTAGTTTTTTTCACCTAGGTCTTGGTTTGAACAGAATCATCGCTGTTTCTTTGTAACACTCTTCAAAAACAACTTGGTGTATTGGCCTTAACCAATTCTTGTAGTCTTTAACTAAAAATCATCACTTCTATAATTAACCTAAGAGTCTGAGGAAGTCAAAAAGCTTCTAGCTGGCTATATCCCAAAACAGATGCATTTGGGGGCGCCTGGGTGGCTCAGTCGGTTGAGGGTCCGAGTCTTAATTTCGGCTCAGGTCATGAGATCGATGGAACCCCACGTAGGGTTCTGTGCTGACCCAGAGCCTGCTTGGGATTCTTTCTCTCCCTGTCTCTCTGCATCTCCCCAACTTGTGCTTTCTCTCAAAAAATCCCAGAAAACAAAAAACAAAACAAAAGGTGCGTCTGGAGGACCTTTCCCTACAAAGTGAACTTCATTTACCATGTTAACCTATTCTCATTTTCTTTTTTTTTTTCCCAACATTTATTTATTTTTGGGACAGAGAGAGACAGAGCATGAACGGGCGAGGGGCAGAGAGAGAGGGAGACACAGAATCGGAAACAGGCTCCAGGCTCTGAGCCATCAGCCCAGAGCCCGACGCGGGGCTCGAACTCACGGACCGCGAGATCATGACCTGGCTGAAGTCGGACGCTTAACCGACTGCGCCACCCAGGCGCCCCTCATTTTCTTTTTATTGCATTTGAAAAATAATTCAGCAGTGTCTCATCTTATATTTTTAGTAAACAATTTCATCCTTTCTTTCAAAGGACAGCAGTGGGAAAAATATTTTCTCCCACAAGATACTCTAATTCCTTCCTCAAATCTTTACACAGAATATCCACTTTGGTCTCACAGAATTACGATAGCGTCAACTGAGAAAAGTGAGAAAATACGTCTAATTTGTAGAAGAAAACTTCACACTGCTGTGGGGTAATCCTGCTCTAGGATTCAAAATATTCAGGGGAGAAGACCACCACCATCCCTCGGAAGCCACACAGACCTTCACCTCCCGGAGAGTGTCAAGGAATTTGTCGTGTCTGTTGGTTAACATGTGCAGTTGGTTCCCGATGTCCTTTTCAGAAAGCTCTTTGGTTTTGGGCGTGCTGGTCTGGTCTCCCGGGGCCAGCTCGATGTCAATCTCCACGTCCTGTGAAACAGAACACAAACAGGCAAAAACAAAAAGTCAGACAGTTAGAGAAAACCCAGTAAACAGCTCTTGCAAACTCCTTGTTACAGTTTTGGCAAGTAAAATTCTAGGCAGTTTCCCAGAATTTTAAAACTATGTAAATCCTTTGAGCTCTAAAATAAACAAAGCAGATGGACTAGATCAGACTTCTCTCTAAATGACACTATGGAAAGATCACTGTTTTGCTCTTCTATTTGGATTGTGGAAAACAAAATGAAAAAGTGCCAATTCTAAACAGTAAAAATAACAATGATAAGGAATTACAGCCTATCATTCCTCAAAATGCAGTATAGCTGCCTCGTTCATTCAGATTAAGAATATGGTCAGGGTCACTGCACAGAACCTGTTGGCACAATGTTTTATATGACTCATTCCCAAAAAGGAGTAAACCCTTCTTTCTGTCTGAAGCCTCTGAGAAGTCACAGCCAAAATTCAATCATCAAGCAAGCCTCTGAGTTATCAACCATTTGGTATGTGCCCCTGAAAAAGCACAACAATGACTTCCAAGTTGGCAATTTACTTCATACAGGAGAGTAACAGGAAGGAAAGATCGTATCACTAGATCATCTAGTGTTCAGCAACAGAAGGAGATTTTAAATTCTTATTTGATAATAGAATGAGTAGATATCCCACATACAAGAGTGGCATCAGACTACCCTTTCAGAGCAAAAAGGGTGCCTCCTTTTGCAATCCTGGGTGGCTGCTTCTAAAACCCAGCACTCCAGGGAAAGACTGAGCTTCCAAGAGCAAACAACCTAAAGGAGACCCAAGTTTAAAGGTCTATGCCTGGAGTAGTGGTGGCTACTCCTCATGGAGCACTGAGGGCCATCGGAACAAAGACCTCAGCCTTGCTAGCCAGTTCTGGGCTCCAGGGCTGCCCCCACCAGGACGAGGTGGAGACTTGGGAGGTTCACAGCAGGCTGCTGGTAGAACCTGCTGGAGCCCTGGGAGGTGTCCCTCCCTAGGGTAGTGCTGTTAACACAACATGGCTTCTTCTCACTTGGGAGAGAAAAATCACCGAACACTAGAATAACCTGTACTAAGCAAGACTAGCTCACAATAAAGTGATCTATCTCGAAATTAAATGGCAGTATGAGATGCTTATCAATTTAACCTAAGTGTCTATCAATAGATGAATGGATAAAGATGTGGTGTGTGTAAGTAGAATGGAGTATTATTCAGCCATAAAAAGGAAAGAAATCTTGCCATTTGCAACAACATGGATGGATCTTGAAGGCATTCTCCTAAGTGAAAGAAGTCAGACAATGACAAAAACCCTATGTTCTCACTTATATGTGGAATCTTACAAAAAAAAAAAAAATCTTACGGAGAACAGACTGGTGCTTGCCAGAGGCAGCAGGATTAAGAGAGGGCAAAATGGGCCAAGGGGGGGCCAAAAGGTATAAACTTCCAGTTATAAGTCAGTCATGGGGATGCAATCAATGTATATATAGCATGGTGACTATGGGTAATGCTACTGTATTGCATATCTGGAAGTTTCCAGGAGAGTAAATGTTAGAAGCTCTCATTAGAAAAAAGATCTGGTAACTGCGTGGTGACACATGTTAACTAGAGGTATCCTGGTAATCATTTAGTAATATATACAAATATTGAATCGTTACATTGGACACTTGAAACTAACATAATGTTGTATGTCAGTTACACCTTGATAATAAAAAAAGAGAACATCTAACTGAACAGAGGTACCACATCCAGAACTTTCAGGTACAGACAGGTTTCAATGCATTGCTCTTGCCCTCCCAACCCCCCCCAAAATCTAAGGCTGACATCAAATTCGTCCACAGAAATGGGAATTCTGCTGTGAAAAGGAAGGGACCACACAATCTGGAGCATTACTTCCTCTTTGGACTCGCTGTTCTCTCGCTCCCGAGGCTCCTGCTTGACGTGTGTGACCATGGCGAAGGCCGCTCGGTCGTGGCTGTCGGCCAGGTTGATGACATTGGTGATGGACGGGAGCATGGCTCCTTGGCAGCTAGTACCAATGGGAGTGCTCTTCTCACACACCGCCAGAAGCAGCTGAAAGGATTCATGAGAAGAAGACAAACCTAGAACATCAGCCTGGCATTTGGGGCGCAGGGACCCATGGTTGACACCTAGTTCTCACGACTGGCACACATAGGGTGTTGACTCGTGAGCCCACAGCTCTGCTTCTCCCCAGCTCAGTCAGACAAAGGGTCTGAACTTTTCCTCCAGACACCCCTCACTCGGCACCTCTGACTCGGTGTCTGAGCAGAAATTCAGTATCTTTCTCCCCTACCAGACGGGCTTCCTCCTGCTATCAACTCCTGCCCAGACTAAGTTCCTAACTCATGGACTTCCTCTTCCCAAATCGTCTCCTCACACACAGCTGACTCAGCGCTCTTCTCCCTGTGGCCCCCAGTGGCTTCCATGGCCGCCAGAGGACAGTGCAAGCTACTCAGCATGGCTCACGAGCTCATCCCTGACGTAACACTCGTACCCACACCCAATACTTCCACGACTATTCCCCACATCCCGATACGCTTTGCCACCTGGCCTTTGCCTCTCGACCTGGATGCCCCCAAACTCAGCCACTCTTGCCCCTGCCCCGGTGGAGCTGAAGTGTCATGGGGAAGGACAAGCCCAACATCAACACGTAAACAGACACATAATAACAAACAGAAACAGAAAACAACGACAACAACCAATAACCCAAAACCAAACCAAAAAAGATACATACTCACTGTAAGAACAGAGCCAAGAAACAGGGAGACCAACAGAACAAAAGGGTGCCCCTTTTAGCTTAGGTGTTAAGAATGTGGCATGTCTGAGAACACAAAAGGCCAGTAGGGCTGGAGACCACCGAGGGAGGAGGGAGACAGGGAGGTCAGTATCGGGCTGGAGAGAGGAAAGGGTCTGGTCACATGGGGGCTGGAAAGACGTGTCCTGGAGGCTGGATTTTGTGCCAAGTATAAAGGCAAGGAGTGACACACACAATCAGCATTATTAAGGACAATTTTGCAACAATAACAAAACTAGGGTGGTGAGCAATGATGGTGGCCCCAAGAGGGCAGAAGAAGAAAAAAGGGTGAGAAGCAGGTGGCCCTGAACTGGTAACCCCTGGCAACGGACCAGATGCACAGGACAAACGAGGCAAGGAATGGCAGATCCCCAGCTTGTGCCCCTAAAGAGGATTCCACAATCTTCTATCTCATTAGGCAAAGTAATTTGGTAACCTTCTAGCTTCACTTGTAAACAAGCAGACTAGAATTATCTGCATAGCATCGATAACCGATGGGAAACTAAGCTGCCTGGTGTAGTAAGCAGATAACTAAGCCAATGAAAGGCAGCGGATATGAACAAGAAACAAGAAAACAGAACTCTCCCCACAATCCTGTTAGAAACATCTGACCATCCACCGAATCGGTCTGACCATTTCACACAGGCCTCTGTCACTGGCATGCTGGCCCCTCACACTAGGGGATCAAAGTCTGTGGCTTTGTCAGGCTGGTCTGGCCTGGCTGCTCTACCTTCCTGCTCTAAGAATGATAAGACGTGACACAGTACATTAAATCTTCAAGGGCGCATAGACAGAATTTACAATTTTCACAGTTGAGGAAAAACAAACCTCTGGCTACACACTAAAGAACACTATTCAATTTTCTAGGAGTTTAAAACCACCCCTAAAAAAACCCCTTGAGCTGAAAACAAAGCTTTAAAAGTCTTTGTTTTCTTCCTGGAAGAGAGGACAGCAGTTTATGGTGGAGGTTTCTAATTCATCTCAGACAATGTTGATGCCTCCTGCTTCAGTGCCCTGCCAGGGACGGCGAGCTGAGCCCGTCCTACCTCAATGCACTGCTTAATCCAGAAGTGGTTCCCCATGGCTTCCCAATTCTGGGAACAGGTAACGTAAAGCAGGCGCTCGTATACCCGACGTTTCATAGAGTTGTCAAAAACCTCGAAAAACTTTGCCCTGATGAGGGGCTGGGCGCAACGCAGCCCGGAGAGGAAGGCTGGCTCGAGTTTTGCAGTCAGCTCACTGCCAGACAGCGTCTCATCCCTGAAATGGAAAGAGGAACACGGGGTGGAAGAGCTACACCAGAGGGGGGACTCTACAAGCCGGAAGCCAACAGGCAGAAAACAAGCGGGGGAGAACGCTCCTAAATGCCGCTACGAAAGCCGAGAGTGAATCATGAATTACCATAGGCCGACGCAGCATTTGAGCAAAAGGTGCGTTAATGGCACAAAAATATGTTCTGGGATTAAGTGCAGGTATGTTTAAAATTTAACTATCGTGAAGAGATTCAACGTTACGTAGGTTAAAGAACATACTGTTAGACACATACGCGCAATGTTTGGTTAACCGCTGTCATTACCTGTAGACATAGTTAACGAGGTCTAAAAACTGGGCATTTAATTCAAGGTCTTCCGGAAAGCGCTTTTCTATGTAGGCCATCATTTTCACAAGCAAAATGGACTTCTCCCGGAGTGTAGGTGTCTGTATGAATTGGGTTTTTTTTAAAAGAAAAGGTCAATTACGTCTATTTGAGAAAAGATAAATTCAAAAGCATTTCAGCCATCTGCTTTATTTTTTAAGCTCCTAAAATTTTGTCAAGTAAAGTAAGACAAGTTCATTTCTAAATGGAAAGAGCCCGCCTCTGGCTGTATGCAAATCCTTAAAATCAAGACAGCTGCCAATCTGATTTTCCTAGGGGCTGCAGCTCACTTTGGAGAGAAAGTAACTAAATTATCAAACAAATCAGAAGTTTGCAATCACCTTACTAAATTCAGTAACAGTCCCATATCATTAATTTTTTGGATGCTTACCTTTAGCACCACAAAGACGAAGAAATAAGATTCATTTAACATCTTAATACAAATACACATTAAAAAGAGTGACCAGTCACCTTGAGCATCTATTTAAAATCTGTTCAGTGCCATGAGAGAAATCCATCTTAAGAAAAAATCCTGCGAATGCCAACATGGGAAAAAGCGTTTTGCCGGAGAAGCGTGAGGAGAAGAGCTGAGCAGGCCATGCTTGGACTTCTGCCTGCACAGCAGCAGGTGCCTGACCCGAGCACAGCCCTCTCGCTGCTCACCTGACTGGCTGCCATCGGGGAATTGTTTTTCACCCACTCTTCCACGATTTTCACTACAG